ATTATATTTATTATATATAATATTATATATATATATATATATATATATATATATATATATATATATATATATATATATAATAATATATATAATAAATATAATATTATAATATTATATTATAATATTATATTTATTATATCGTGATACATTTTCACTTTCTATTTTAATACTTCAATTTGTCAAATACTCGTCTTGTATAATATATATAATAATAAATATAATAAATATAATAATATATATAATAAATATAATATTATATTTATTATATCGTGATACATTTTCGCTTTCTATTTTAATACTTCAATTTGTCAAATACTCGTCTTGTATAATATATATAATAATAAATATAATAAATATAATAATATATATAATAAATATAATATTATATTTATTATATCGTGATACATTTTCGCTTTCTATTTTAATACTTCAATTTATCAAACACTCGTCTTGGACAAATCGTAAATAATTCTCGGATTTTGAAGAAAACCTGTGCTACAACGACACGATTTTTTCTGCTCACGTTGCAAAATATATAATCGAACGCTATCGAGATATTAATTTTCGAATTCTAAACGGAAACAGGTACTCACATGAGACGACACCGCGAAGTAAGACGCGATGCATAAAATCGCACACAATAAAGTTGTCGGGAGATTCATAGTGGCCGCGATGCTACTACTTCTGCAAATCCGTTCTTCGAATCTCGAGTGTCTTCTTTCTTGAACGAATGAATTTTATATACGAATCCCCTAACTTACAGTTACATAAGTAATATGACTTAACATGTTATCTAGGAATAGACGTTTTTCCAATGACTTCATGCGTGTTTCCATCGCCAATAGCTTGTGCAAGAAGACATTTTTTCGCGACGCTAGTTCCTCATGATCAAAGTCTCGGCCAGCAGCCGAGATTTTAGTGTTTGCATTTGATCGGCGACAAGCGGCGTCTAATTGCGTTAACTTCGAGCAATAATAGAAAATTCACTATTCAACTATACAGCCGCATAATTGTGCCTAATCTAATTTCAATTAAATGTATTTGAACGATTTATATTCACTGTTTATTACCGAAAAATCGTACGAATAATGTTTGCGAATAAATCCAACTCGATACGTTGATTGTTAATTAGTGTTTGCATTTGATCGGCGACAAGCGGTGTCTAATTGCGTTAACTTCGAGCAATAATACAAAATTGACTATTCAACTATACAGCCGCATAATTGTGACTAATCTAATTCCAATTAAATGTATTCGAACGATTCATATTCACCGTTTATTACCGAAAAATCGTACGAATAATGTTTGCGAATAAATCCAACTCGATACGTTGATTGTTAATTAGTGTTTGCATTTGATCGGCGACAAGCGGCGTCTAATTGCGTTAACTTCGAGCAATAATAGAAAATTGACTATTCAACTATACAGCCGCATAATTGTGACTAATCTAATTCCAATTAAATGTATTCGAACGATTCATATTCACCGTTTATTACCGAAAAATCGTACGAAT